TACATACGTTTTTATCAACCGTAAACCGATGATAACAGCCACCGGGGATGACAAGCAGATCTCCCGGCAGGATTTCAACCCTAATCCATTCGTCGAACTTGTCACGGATGTCGTAGTATCCACACCCCTCAAGGCAGATTCTGAATTCATCATACGTGTGGAAATGTTCGACGTAAAGTACTTTCAAATCATTCGGGTCGAGGTCCTCGATTTCTTCTATGCCTTGGTTGCCTCTCTCCTCTATCAGTTTACGGAATGTGGCGTCGAGTTGGAAGTTTTTCGGGTCCACCTGTTAAAAAAATTTTGTTTGTACTGACTAAATAAATAGTTACTTATTATACAAGGGAAAAAAGTACTAGGTTTTAGCTTGAGGTTGTAGGCGCAGCGGAGGGAGACAAAAACCGAAAGCTATAATTTAGTATCTTTCCGGTGTATAATACACAATTTTTTTCTGTGACGGGAAAAATGACAATTTAATATTGAAAAATTATATTATTACAATATTTGAGTCAGAAAATTGTCGATGTGAAATTTGAATTTTGAAATAAGTAGCCTATGTTGTACTTACGAGTATAGCGACAATTAGACCTGCGTTGCTAAGGAAACTTTTAAAGTAATCAAATAGCTGTCAATTTAATTTTGTGATTTGATTTAAAAATTTTAAACTTAGTGCTTGCTTAGATGATATTTTTAATGCTATAAAGTAAAAAATGTCTGATTCCGAATTTTCTTTGACTCCACCGGAATTACTAGAAGTAGCCAAAGTAGTGACACAAAAATTATTGCCAGCTAAATCGCATAAAATTTACGAAACAATATCCGGGAAATAGTACTCGTTTTTTCCCGGGAAAAAAGCAATTTCATAAAAGGTGATTTTGTTACTTGTTCCAAGAGATAAAATGTCAAACTTTTTTTCCCGTCACAGAAAAAAAATATTTTTGGACCTGCAACCCATTCTTTTTAGGTATTATTAATGCTGTGATACAGGATCATACGTTTCAAGAACGAGCAGCTCTTGTATATACCTTTCTGTTTAAAAAATAGTGCATGCCATATCTTGGTGGAGAAGAATGCTCTTATTGGCCGAGTACTTTTATACCCTGTATATAAGATTAGATAGGTAGATAAATATGCTTTATTGTCTGAAGAATAAAATTATTCTTGATAACAAAGCTAAGTTTAAACTATAATATAATCATATAAGTGGATCTTAAGTAGGTGAATTGTAGACAAGGTATAATATGGCTTATATATAAGTTTTTAAGTTCACGGCGGAATATCTTTAAATTGTTAATATCTTTGATAGCATCAAGGAGACACATGTAAATTTTCAGGCCATTATAAATTATTGAGTCTTTCACAAGTGTTGTTTTAGGTACTACAAATTTGAGATCTTGTTTTCGTCTAGTATTATAAATTATATTTAATGTTTCAAATTTAGGTTTATTTTTAAAATAACAGTTACTGTTTCTAAAATGTACAATGATACTCCAGACATTATTTTAAGATTTACAAATAAAGGCTTGCATGTTGCTCTAGGATTGCTTTTAGTTATATATCTAATAGTTCGTTTTTGTAGAAGCACCTTTTGGGAACATACACACAAAAACCGAATGCTATAATATCTCAATTTACTTTCAAATAAGGCAGAGTAACTGCTGAAGGTGCATTGTGAAAAATTGTTCTTATAATGAAGGAAATCTTTGCAAGTTGAGTAAGTAATTTGTCTACATGATTAGTAAAATCTAATTTATGATCAATGGTCGGTCCCAAAAATTTGATGGTGTCTATTTTTTTGTATCAAATCATTATTAAATTTATAAAATAAAGGGAGCATATAACGTCATAAATTTTGTCTTAACATTGGAATCCAAATATTTGTTGTCACAATTTTTTTTGATTGATTGTATATCATTATGAATATTTGCCTTAATTTCATGTGTCTTTGTCTTGTCGAAGTATTGTGGTATCGATAGCAAAAACTACGAATTTAACATTTATGTTTAAGTTTAATAAATCGTTGATACAGATTAAGGAGATGATCGAACCTAATACTGATCCTTGGGGTACCCCTGCGTTTATATTAAATTTATTTGAAATATAATGCCTTGATAATTTTACATTATTTAAATATGTTTTAAACCCCTACTGAGCGGGACCGTGGCAAATGCTTGTTCCGGACTTTGTTGTATCCAGTATACAACTTCTTTCCGTTCAAGTGATTGTACATGCGTTAAGGAATACCTCAGTACCAATTGCCGGGTGGCGGTACAAGTCCGCCAACGGGCCACTTTAGTTCTATTCAATATCACTAACACGTAAAAAGAAGGTGGTAGACAAGGACCAGTCGACCAAGGTGATACCACCCGCTAGCTTTTCCCAGGGTGTCTTATAAATGTCCGCATGTTTCCACACCTATGCAGTCGGTTATCTTCCAAAACAAAGAAATTAATGATGATGAATCCCTCGAGCACTAAGAACTCCGGACGTAAACTCACTCCACTCTGGGAATGTCCGGGTGGAGGGTGGGCTCGAGGAAACAACATCGAAGGTAAAATTTGTTTTTCGAAGATCTGCGGGATTAACAGCAACATTGATGCTGTTCTTCACTACCTGCAATCCAATCGTCCCGCCGTGCTTTTCTCGGCGGAGACAAAAATCCCCGAGTCTGCACCGATTAAACATCTCAACTTCCCAAACTACGAGGTGCACTACAATCTGAGAAGGAACGGGGGAGTTGTGGCTTTTGTCCTAAGCAGTCTTTCCTGCTCCAGAGATGTTTTTTTGGAATCAGACCGGAAGGACATTCACAACTCTAAAACATCACCCAAAATTATTTGCTGCCTTTATCGCTCTCCCTCGGACCATAACTGGGATGACCTACTCGAATACCTCGTCGTCCAGATCGACTTCCTCAACATCAATCACCCCGCTTCAGAGATAGTTCTTCTCGGTGATTTCAATGCCCATAACGAGCTTTGGTTGGGCTCAAACAAGACCGATGCAGTAGGTCGTGCAGTCGAAGCGTTCGCTCTCACTCAAGGGCTGACCCAGCTGGCGACGAGCCCTACTTCTTCCCCCGCGTCTCACGCCAGTAGCCTGCTGGATCTCTTTCTGACCACGCATCCTGTCCCTTACAGTACTGCTGTTCTGCCCCCCTTGGGTAACTCAGATGAACTGCCGACTTCTGCCAAAGAGCCATTTGTTTAGGGCTAAGAATTACTTTTCTCCGGATGACCTTCTCACTCTATACAAGGCCCAGATAAGGCCTAGCCTTGAGTATTGCTCACACGTTTGGGGTGCTGCCGCCCCGTCTACATGATCCATGCTCGATGCTGTCCAGAGGAGGACGGTCCGACTGATCGATGACTCTTCTCTAACAGACAGTCTCGGGAGTCTTTCGCACCGGCGGGCCGGCGGCGATCTAGCTATTTTCTATCGCTACACCAACGGGCTTTGCTCCTCAGAGCTCTCTTTCATGATGCCGCCGTGCAATGTGCCTGCCAGACAGACCCGCCAGACTTTGGCGTCCCAACCTAACCGTGTCGAACTTCGTACATCAAGAACTGGCCTATACGACCGCTCCTTTGTCCCGAGGGTGTCGAGATTGTGGAACAATCTACAAGAGCAAGCTTTTCGAAGTTCTACTAACCTTAGACGTATTAACAAAATTTCTTTGGGATCATCATAGCAGCCGCGGTGTTCCGGCATTTAGGCTTCTGCCTGCGCGGCTGCTTCGATATATATATAAAAAAAACCTATTGAGTGAAGCTTCAGTACAACTATATTTGCTAATCCTTTTTAGTAGTATATCATGATTTACACATTCAGAAGTTTTGGAAAAGTCGCAAAAAGAGCTATTGAAAATTGGTTATCGTTTAAATTTGAGTATAACTGTTGCTTTTAAAATCCAAATTGGTTCTCACTTATAATTTTGTTGGATTTTCGAAAGTCTCTCAATCTAATTTGGACTATTTTTTCTATTATTTTTGCTATAACAGTAATTAAACTTATGGGTCTATAATTTTTCGGAAAACTATTGGTGTTTCTGAAAATTTTGGGTAATATTTGAGAGAAATATTTATGTTTTGTGAGCATATAAGATTCGCTATAATTTTTAAAGAAATTTCATCAATTCCGGATGATTTTTTATTTTTGATAGACCTTATACTTTTCCAATTCATAAATGTCAGTAGGACAAAGTGAAAATTGCTGATCTATACTTATATGGTTTATATTTGTTGAGTGGTAATCAGTATTTTGTAGATATAGTATTTTTTAGTTTTTCTGCTATTGTGCAGTAATAATTATTTCGTACATCAGAATTTATAGGTGGCTCCTTGATTTTATTGCCTACACTTATTATTTTCTGTTTATAAAAAGAATAATTATTTTTTTCTGAAGCTAAGCCTTGCTGATATATTTATTTTATGGTATGTGATACAGTAGTTATGAAAATTTCATTTTCTATAAATTTCTTGATATAGTGTAAGAACTTCCAATTTCGGGAAGATATTTTTAATACTTCTGTGATCCGCGGTTTTTTGCTCTTAATTTGAGCTTTTTGGTATGGGAAGGTTTCAACAAAAATATTTACAAGTTGATAATAAAATGCTAGGAAGTGACTGTGGGTAAGGAAGCCAGCATTTAAGTTCATTGTGATACATCTACATAGTTATGGTCACAAAAAGGTTTTTAAAAGTTCTGTTATCATCTTTAGTCTCTTTATTCTATATTTGATAAAATATTTTGCATAGTTGTCTCAAGATGGGGAAAAACAGATGGTGTGTGGCGTACTGGAGGCTAGGATAACTCTCTTCGGTGGCTAGAAACCGTAATGTCACTATGAGCTGCTCCTCAGTGCTGATGAGGTTTCCTAAATGTGTCATCCGCATCCATTCTCAAAAGTTAACATAATTGTTCTGATCTTCTACTGCCAGTGCTTGGACCAAGTTATTGTAGATCATGTTCAACTCACGGCGGGCGATCAACGGTTTTACCCACAGTCGCTTCTTTTTCGCTGTTAAAGCCACTACAGTGGCTGCCGAAGTAAAACTAGCTATATGAGCAACCTGAACGTCGTCGTCCATAGCTGTATTTGCACTACCTTCTTAAAATAGTATATAAATCTTTTGCGTAGTGTAATAGACTGTTTGACAACCATAACATTTCTTTTATGTATAACTTTTGTAATAATTTATAAAAGATCTTTGTTAAGGAACTTTTATAGGTAATGCCGGCCTAAGACGGCTTCAGGATCTGACAATCTAACAGATAAGACAGGGAAAGAAATAATTTAATTTGTATAATAGTAAGTAGAGGGTACGCAAAAACTGTTGGCTATATAATTGCAAAATCTCGGTGTCACGTCAATAACGTTTCACAATTACGACCCTGATGTTAAAACGTAAAAAGTAATTGAAAAATGCGTTCGTTTTGAATTTCCTTGAAACAAAGCTTCGAGTAGTAAGTCGTGCGGAAAGTTCATCGCACTCTCATAATGATATATCGCAAGGTGTATGTGAATATTATGTAGAAATTTCCAGCTCGTCATAAATTAACTTATGGGTAAATAAGACTGTTATATTAGAGGTTCATAGTGTGATAAGGGCGAGAGCGGAAACATTTTTTGACAGAGAACAGTTTTTATAGCCTCCCTCGAACAATATTGTAGCAAATTGACCTTTCCTGACTAACCTAGATAAGCGACATGGGAGAAAGGGACATATGGTCTATAATTCTCTATATCCATTTTTGTAGTTTCCTTGTCTATCATGTACTGAAGGTATTATGCCGCTGCTTGCAACCGAAACTTAATAGATTTTGTGCAACAGATCGAAGATCTCGAGTAAACACAGAAAGACCAATATTGGCGCAAAAAAAGTTTGTATAAAGAGCAACAAGTGAAGTTGGCCATTACATCAATATTGCGGAGTGTATTTTTCCGAAGCAGAGAAACTGATTTAATAAATTTTATCAGAATAAATTAAATCCTACTGATTTATCGAAATGGTGTGTGTACGAAGCAATAGTAGCAGTGCAGTTCCAAACTATTTTTATTCTCAGTCAGGGAGTTAGGTTTTAGATAAACATGTCCTCCTTTCGTCTGTCCGACCAAAGACAGTCAACCATGGATAGCTGTTTCGCGCTTTTTGGCTAATCCTCAGCATGGTCTAGGCTTGGGTGTCTCTAGGATAGCGCAAACCGCCGTCTACCACTTGAATCTACGAAACAGGGCGTCGCAGCCGACCTGTATAGTTTAGATAGTTCTTTGTTATGCCAACGATGATAGAGGCACCCATCGACCCTGGATAACATTTTTATTTTTGTTTATTTCCGAACATGTAACACGCTTAAAAGTGAAACGTGATTGCTGGTAAAGAAGCTTTAATTTATACCAATCCTTGATCAAAAATGTTTTTGGAATATTAAAATCAGACTAGCAGTCAAATTAACAAAGAAGTGTTTTCTCTTTATCAGGCCTATTTGCTCCGTGTTGACTCTCTTCCCTCCCTTCTTTTCTTTTCCTTTTTTTTTGGATTTCGTGTATTATTGAGGGGGAAACAAGAAATTTTTCGGAAGGGGTAAACACTGTTTTGTGTCTTTGATTCCTGTGGATGTCTGCAATATACGTGTATATGCAATGCTTCTCAAAAAGCCCCATCTTCCTGCTTATTTTTGGAACGGGTCAAGTTAGTAAGTTGAAATTTGGGATGATAAAAAATGCATGAATACTGTATTTTAGTGTAGAAGAGGCAACTGGAAATTTCAAGATGGTTGCTAAGCGCCATCTTGGGACATTCTTTCAGGCGATACCTTATTTTGAAGCTCCTTGTCAGTCTTTTATAACCTCTAGAAAGAAGTTTATTATTTATGAAAATGGTGAACAGGCGGGATGCTAAAGTTTTAACGTTTTGGTCATTGAGTTATTTAAAACTTAAAAACAAATGATAAAAATGCTATATCAATCAATTAATTAATCTTCTTCTTTTGGGCGGGTCCATCTGAATTTGTAATTCCGTTTAAGCAAATTACAGATTTTGACATACTTTTAACGGAATATTGCTATAACTTACTACAGCGTTTTTGATGAGTGGTTGTTGGGTTATAAGCGATTCAATGTAAAAAATCCCCAACAATGACAACCTACCACTCCTAGTTTTAGGTCGGTGAGTCTATCTTTGGTTTTGCAACACCATTTTGTATGGTAGGGCAAAACCGGAGCACTTGACCATTCACATAGCATAGCGTAATTGCCATGATTAAAATTGAATACTGAAGCGCAGCTAGTGAGCTATACATTATTCAAGAAACTACGTGATATCTTACACAATTTCTGAGTAGTTGACGTTTTATTGGACATGAAATTTGAATGTCTCCCCAGTGGAGATATTGCCTCAGAACGAAGATTTTACCTGAGTTTGCATGAGTGATAATCAATCATAGATCTTTATAATGAACACCGTTTTTTAAAAAATACAAGTATCTTAGAAAGAAATCAACGAAAAATACAAGTATTCAGGTCGGTAAACTTTATATCCATTTATATTTGCAAATGTCCAACGATGATCATCTTTGAAATCCGAAACATCGGTCTTATTTACTTGTTTTAGGAAAAGCAGTTGTTGCCAGTTTAGTTGTATCAATTTTGCGTACCAGATATAGTTTATTGGTTCCATCATTCTGAAAATACAGCAATTCAATAAATTCGTGATCAGCGACCCAAAACATGCAAAAATACCAATTTTCAGATCACTAGACTTTTGGACTTTTGCGCTAAATGACTATGAATACAATTTTAAACCACCACTAAAATAGTGCAACCCTCTTTAGAGGGTACAAACAGAAATATTTCTTTACTCCTTGTCGTCCCTGACGATCTGAATGAGTTTTTTTCAAGGGACATCATTATATGTGGACCTAACTGGTCACTATCTAGGTCAAAATTCGTTAATTACGCATTATCGTTCAACAGTATTTTCAGAGGTGGAGAGAATAGCCCCAGTAAGGTTTTTCCGCTGCTACATGGGTAAAGTCTGTCACCTCCGTCGTTTTGGATTGGAGTTTTCATGTAACAGTACTGAATAACAATAAACATACAATTCATTTTGTCTTGAACAAGTGGGTTCTAGTTGTACGAGCCCCTTCCCACTTCAGTTGGCCCACTTCAAGATTTGTACCAGAATATGTATTTATAAACTAAACTGACGAAACTATTTAGTTCTAAAACAAGTATTTTCTCAAATACAGTTTTAGATATACTCTAGTCGTAAAAAATACATATTTGAATCACTTAGACCTATAACTAATAGAACATCTGAACAAATAAACAATGTGCCATAAATGCGCGAAGTTAACAAAGCAACAATTGAAAGATTAGCATTGGGTAACATCACCTTTATTTTTATTACGGCTGAAAATTCTTTGGGGCATAGTGTTAGCCAAGTTTTGGCAAAAATTTGGTGTAAAACAATCCCATATTTCTTGAAGCTTTTGTCTCAGTTCGGTGATTGGTACGAGCAGGATGTTGCCGTAGAACCTTTTCACCTCGTGCCACAAAGTTTCAATAGGTGACAGATCTGAACTGCTAGAAACCCATTTCAACAGTAATATATTATTTTCTTTCATCCAATTTATAGCCTTTTTTGGGGTATGGCACGCTGCACCATCTTGCTGAAACACAAAATCTTTGCCGGATGTCAAACATTCTTCCATCACTGGTAAAAGCGATTCTCCTAAAATTGCCAATATGTATTTGTTTTGTATCCACATTCCATCAATTAAATGAAGTTTTCGGTGCTCCTGTTGATGACAGACTGCCTCAGACCATAATGGATGCTGGAAATTTAACTTTTCTCTTCAGACAGTCAACATGGAATGCTTCATTTTTTTTGCGAATAACTCGTCTACTGCGACTGTCACTCAACCAACCAACTATCTTCGAATCGGGCCTAATCACTCCATTGTATTGCACACATTGTTGAGGTTTCCATGTCTATGTTCTTTATAGCCCATCTACGCCGATTTTTATTTTGCAGTGGATTTATAGTGGGCTTTTCTTTGGCCTATAGATAAGTTGTGCAACTTTAGGGTTTTTACTTCACTTTTTTTTATAAGAACCTTGCAAGTGCTAAATCCCAGTTTGTGGATCTCTCTGAGTTGTGGACCTCGAAATTTTCCTTCCAACAGCGTCACTCCACAAAGCCCTTAATTGTAAATAATTGGCACGCCTGTTTTTCACGATTATTCTTCTAATGCTCTTCGGTCGGCATTTGTGATATTACTTTTTTTACATATCGTGGCTTAATATTAACTGAACCAGTTACGTTATATCTTCTAACAATATCACACTGTACCGCGATAAGTCTAACAAAGTTGCAATTTCTGAGTTTGATTTCCCAGAATTAAAAAATTTAATTATCAGTAACCGAATTTTCTCACTAATAACCTTTCCTCTACCCATTTTGAAAACCTTAACTAACCAAAACTATTTTAAACGTATTCTGACAGCTGTGATTAATAAAAAATTGTCATGGCTTTTATTTTTCATAGCCACCTATGCGTTATAGACTTATTTTGCATTGAAATGAAAATAGGTTGATATGCTGTAATTGCAACATGTGTTATTTTTATGCTGCAAATTTGATTAGGGAGTGATAAAGTTGGTGTTTTCTACTATATATTATCAAAATATTCATTGTTAATATTTTAAACCTATAAGACCATGCTACATTTTATTATTTGTGTTTGATAAGAAAAAAACTAAGATTTCAATAGTTGGGCCAACTGAAGTGGGAAGGGGCTCGTACTAAGCAAACAGGAATTAACAAGCAAGCAAGCAATCATTTTTTTACTTTCTAGGTGCCAAACATGTATCCCGCTGTAACATGTAACTAAGGTCAT